CCCTTCCCCTGCTCCCGCCCTTCCCCTCCATGAACCCCCACTCCATCCTGTGGTTGTTTGCTCCCCTCACCCAAATTCTGCCTGGGCATGCAGACCTTGGGCCTCACTTCTTCCCAGGGCTCGCTGCCATCTGCCAGAGGCAGAGTTCTGTGGCAGCTCCTGTCCCTATCTCCCCATTACTGGAGCAGGGATTCCCCACTGTGGAGCTTCTCTGCTGGTTGGATTCAGAGCCCTGGGGAGGGAAAGCCTTCAAAGCCAAGACTGCCATCAATACTTGGCATCATGCTCAAGCTCTTCCCCCCATGACACATTAGGGATTGAAAACCCAAGGGTCATCTGCCCTATCCACACCTCATGCATAGCACCGGGCGAGCACAAGCCGGTGCATCGGCTGCTCTAAGGTACATGCACCAAACGAGGTGCTATGGGCTAGCCCCCTCCTGCTGCACACACACATGCTCCTGCAGCATTGCCTTCCGTGACAGAAGGGCAGTCTGCCTCTTGCTCAGCTTGGACAGGAGCCCTGGGCTCCTTATCAGAAAGCTAGCAGTTATCAGAAAGCTGATAGACTCCTACGCTGCTGCTCTGGCACGTATGCTTACCTGGAAGTGAATGTGGCTCTGGAGCAAGTCCCTGCTTCTGCAACTATGTTTGCACTGGAGCGTGCTGGTTTTCTCCCCTTCACCCCCAGCTCCTCAGAAAGGTGTTTCTGGATGTTCAGAGCCTCGCAGGTTTGCTTGGGGGTAAAGCATGGAAGGTCTCATCCCCACTCAAGGGTAACTTTGCAGGGAGGGAGGAGGGAAGACCATTGCAGAGATAAGGCAGAAAAGATGCTCCTTTTGCACTGCCAGCAAACCAACCTGCTCCAAGCAGCCCTGGCACCAGGCTGGGTACCCACGGACGAGAAAGTCTGTGCCACTTGTCACTAGGGAGGAGGCAGTCGGCCCTTCGGCTGGAGGCAGCAGATTTGGCTAGCTGGTTTGCAGTACCACTGGCTGGAAACTGCCTGTTTCATGGCACACAGGGTACAATATTAACCACTAGTTAATTTTATACAGCACAGGAGTGAAGCCATCTCGAGCTGCTTAACCAAGCATAGCAGTGAAGACAGGGAACAAAGAACCATGGTCGAGCCTGGCTGCCCAATCCATAACCCAACCCATAACTTCTTGTAGGCTACGCCAGGAGCTCCGTAGCTGATCCCATGTGGCTCATGCTTTTTAACATTACTTGAAATACAGTCTTCCTAGGAGCACCTTCTTTCAGGGCACTACTGACTGAGACGGAGAGGTGCTCATTATAGAATAACAAATACCACTTGCTGGAGCATCAGTTGGGGATTTGATTTGGTTTTAAATATAAATATTATTAAATATTATTATGCATTAGGAAAACAGTCCCAGACTTAGGATCTCCCTGGATCGGGTAAATGTGATACGATATTTTAGCGATCTGTTTCTCTGTGTCTCAATTTACCATTAAAACAAGAGAACTGGCAAGTCATGGGGGGAATATGAAAAAGGGGGAACATTAGAGGATGCTCAGAGCCGAAAGGCCAAGCAAGTGTCTGAGATAAGACCGCTTTGAAAGAAAGCTGGAGCAGGGCTACAACTCTGCAGAGAACCAGCGATGTTGGCATTGATGGAAATTCTTGCTGGATGATAAACTGGGTGGATGAGAAAGATTTTATGGCCAACCATTTATTGACTCCCTGAGGTGCGTCATTATTCCTTGTTCATGCTTTTATATAAATGCATGTCCAACTTAAGCGCATCTTCTCGCTGCATTGAGTAAGCTGGTGAAACGATTGTTAGTGTAGTGGTATAACTGGGAGGAAGGTGTCGGTTTTGGAAGGAGAAGGCTTTGTAACGGTGGTGTAAGGAGAGCCTGACACAAAATAACATCGGGGAGAGTCAAGTTGTTATTTCCTTGTTTCAGCTGAGAGATAACAAAGAAGCAAACAAACATAAGGCATCCCAGCTTGGGCAGGTCGTGCTCTATGGAAACTTGCTGTGCAGATATGGGACAGAACACAGATAAAAGGTCAAGTCCATTCCACTGAGTAGGATCTGTGGGGGTTTAAAACAGGGGAAAGAAGTGGAGGTTTAGGGCTGGAACTGTTAGCCTGCCTTTGTGCATTTCTATCCTAGTTATATTTATTTGGTGCCTGGTGCCAGATTCCTGATGAAGATACAGACTAAAAATAGCTGGTAAAGACCATAACAGTACTGAAGTCATATATCAAATAAGTCAGTGTTCAAAATTCAATCATGTAAAGTATTTAAGATACATTTAGTGGATGCACATGTTGGCCTGTCAGACTGGGAAGCTTCAAAATCCATTTTTCTTAAAGCTGGCTGAGGGGTTAAAAAAAAACCATGGGAGCTTGACAGGAATGACAGCATGATCTTTTTTGTCAATATTTAGGTTGTATAAGAGGTGTGGCGACTATTTTCGTAGGTCATGTTTGCACTGGAACCTCAAATACCTTCTGTCATCTGTTTTTCAGGCTTTTACGTTACCTCATAACTCTAGATTTCTGGACGTCATACGCTGAGGAGTGAACCCATGCCCTCTCACAGACTATGAACTGCAAGTGTCCTAGTGCTGTCCCTACCTGGCCTGTGTACCTCTTTCCTCCTTTGATTATTTGTTTAATTGACCTAATATGTTACATCTTTACCTATGGTGAATGCTCGCTGGTGAATGGTGCCTCACCCAGGATGAAGACCCGACTGGAGGAGGACACTACTACAAGATAAAAGTGTCAAGCAGACAAAAAAAAATTAGTTTAGAGAAAGCATGGCATACCTACAGGGTGTTTTTCTGCACTTAAAAACAAGTTTGGGCTTTGCTTTAATCTTAATGTTAAGAAAAAGAAAACTTGCCAGTGCAGGCAGGCAGTGTGACCGTGTCACGCTGTTTGTCTAAGCCGCCCATGCATCTTTCTACCTCTCTCCCAATGTACCTTCCCATTGCGTATGACTTCAAACCTGCCTTGAAAGAATTGAAAATTAATATTGTGGTTTAACCTGGCAGGTAAGCACCACACAGCTGCTCATTCCCCCCCCTTCCCCAGTGGGATGGGGGAGAGAATTTGGGGGGGAAGTAAGATTTATGGATTGAGATAAAGACATTTTAATAGGACAGAAAAGGAAGGGGAAATAATAATAATAATAATAACAACAACAACAACAACAATAATAACTACAACAACAACAACAGTAACAATAATAAAAAAGATCTACAAAATAAGCGATGCACAATGCAAATGCTCACCACCAACTGACTGATGCCCAGCCAGTTTCTAAGCAGCAGCCCCCTGGCCAACTCCCCCTAGTTTCTATACCGAGCATGATGCCGTATGGTATGGAATACCCTGCCATATGGTATGGAATAGCCCTTGGGCTAGTTGCGGTCAGCTGTCCCGGCTGTGCCCCCTCCCAATTTCTTGTGCACCCCCAGCCTTCTCAGTCGGCAGAACACGAGAAGCTGAAAAGTCCTTGACTTAGTGCAAGCCCTGCTCAGCAACAACTCAAACATGGGTGCGTTATCAGCATTCTTCTCATACTAAATCCAAACCACAGCGCTATGCCAGCTACTAGGAAGAAAATCAACTCCATCCCAGCTGAAACCAGGAGAATGAAATAACTAAAAGTGCTGTAGTACCCTGCTGGATCGAAGGCCCCTTGAAGACATTGGCTGCAAACCTGATTTCATCGTCATCCAGATCCAGTGGATTGGAGAAAGACTAGCAAGCTGTCATTTCTTTTCCACACCCTTCATCCACAAGCGGTAGGAGAGGACAAAATACCAATGATCAAACTTTATATCTCCTAACACAGTTATTTCAGATCCGCCCAGCCTGACACACAGCTGAGGCCAAGGGAAGATGGGAGAAAAAACATTCTCGGGTTTTGCAAAATGCTCTCATTGCCCTGCCTCCCGCCTTCTGCCACTTATGCTGAGAACAAATTATTAACAATATATCTCTTACTATAATTGCACAACCTATGGCAAATGAGCACTGTGAT